AGGGTGCACGTCCCTGTTCCGGAAATGACGGCTTAGTCTCGGCTAGCGGGTACGGGCCTGTGGGCTGGGGCCAGTGGCTGCTGAGAACCTCGTAGGAAGTGGAGACCCAGAGGGTCCACAAGTTACCGGGCCCTCATCAAGATTAAGTTTGCCAAAGCCCCACCTCCCAGGTACCTGCTAAGATTTGGTGGGCAGAATTTGTCATCCCTGAGTATAGCAGAAGGAAGCACATTGCTCTTGGAAAAGGGCCATAAACCTGAGGGAGTGTTACTGCATTTTCCCAGAGATCTCAGGCGGCACTCAATGAGATGGAGAGAGAGAGAGTTATTTGTCACACCGGTGGGCCCAGTAGAGTAGCTCCCAAAAGTCTGAGACCCAAACAGCAAAAATGGCGGGATTTTATAGTTTGTACACGGAAGCTTGTCACCCCATCCATCACAGACTTTAGGTAGCCGTGGCTACTACTGTGGGTAAGCAGCACACCCTGCAACTTTCTGCTCTAGCAAGCAGCAGAATACAAGCAGCAGACTCCAAGTAGCAGACTTAGATAATTTCCTGCTTCAAGAGGAGGAATCAGATGGAATACTGAGTGAGCTGGTGTGTCAGGGACTCCCCTTAGGGATTTTCTGTTCACTTCTCATCTCTGAGGAAACTCAACTTCTACACTACAGCACGTTACCTTCTCCCCTTCTCACTAATTCTCTTTAATTTTTCCCTTAATTTTCTTATCATAAATATTTAGGTAAGGAAAATCATACACACTTCTACAGCCAGAGGCAGGTTTTTGGGAGAATGAAGGATTAAGGCAGTACGGGCAAGAGTCGGCCTTCTCCATTCCACCGCTTGCTTACTCTAGGAGACAGGCTGTGGGAGAGTTAGTGAGGGGGTGGTTTGGGGAGTAGCTCAGAATAGCAGAGGAGGGTGAATAAATAAGCAATTTACAAAAGAAGAAATGTTTTTTAAAATAGTGTTTCCTTGTTATGGTTGAAGAATTGCTTCTCTCTGAAAGGAAGGCTGGAGTTCAATGAAACAAGGTTGAACACTGATCTTAAAAGGAGTTCTAGGAAACAGCAAAAATAGCAGGGATTCTGCCCCAGGAGAAGAGATGAGAAAACTTATCATTTGGCATGTCAGATGGTTCTATCAAAAGGTTGATCTGAGGTGATGCTGGAACATGCAATGCGTTATTGCATGCTGTGATTACACTGGACAGAGTTAAATAGACAAGAAGGACTTTGTTCAAAGGTGTTGCAATTCGGTGAGAGAGGCCGGGAAAGAAGGAGGAGGGAGATTCTAAGGTCTGGAGTGAGCTGGCGGAACCAGGGCTTTGTGAAACCATCAGCCACTTGTGTTTGTTAATTGGCTTTACCGAAAGGAAAAGATGAGCTTCCCATATCTTTATGACAGGAGGTAGTTATGGAACAAGGCACTTAGGGAAAAAAACAAAAAAAAACCAAAAAAACAAAACAACCACACACACAACAGTTCGATTCCAGGAAGCTGAAGAGACTGCCTGTGCTTCTTCCTTGGTGGTTACAGTTCAAAAGCATAACTCCCAGGTCCTTGGGAACAGATCTTTCTGATCATAAAACTGGAAAGAGGCTTCTAAAGGGATTTATATCTTAAAGAAACAGAAAAAAATGTTAGCTACAAATTTTCTGAAGTAAATGTTCTAAGATCAAGGGCCAGGAGTCAACAGACACACCTGCCTCAAGTTTAGTCAAACCAAGGGGAGCGTGGAAGCCATCATGGTCAGTCCAAGGACCGAGCAGGAGAGGCAAAGACTTGCTCTCACAGTCTTGGGTAGTACTGGCCTTTTGTGTGGTGACTTTTCTGTGAGGGAGAGACAGCTTTTGAAAAGGAAGGCAGCTGAGTACTGTGGTGGAATTACATTTGCTTACAGGATGGGATAGATTATGAAAGTTCTATAGTTTGGGCTGTGGAGTTGAGACTTTCCTTTCTGCAGGAGCACAATGGAGTGTCACACTGAATCTTGTGATTCTAGAGGGGTGTCCACATCCCTGAAAGGTAAAAAAACTGCTTTGGACTAGAGGGTGAAGAGTTTGTTTTGGAAAATGTTGATCTGAGGTGACACTGAAACAGACAATGAGTATTGCATGTTGTGACAGGAAGTTTGTTGCCTCTTCGTGGCAGGAATGCAATGAGGGACACAACAGTCATGGGGCAGGTTTGCAAGGCAAGACTCTGCTACTTGAGCAGAAATTCTTGTGCCATTTATTGAAATCATACAGGCTAGTAAAAGCTGATCATGCGACAATGGTATGAGGAATAAGGTCTAGAGAATAAGATTGGAATGTGGGACAAAGTTTTACAAGGGACAGGGAAAGGGACATCATGACCATGCATCAAGAGACATTTGCATCAGCAAAGTATTTGATGTTATCACAGGCAGAGTTATCTCGGGACCACCATGGAGACAGTCACGTAATCAGGTCAACAGTGGCTTAGGTGTTCCCAGGCCTGCCTCATGATACGGGCTATACTCTGTAGATAGCCAAGGAATGCTCTGCTGTGATTTGTAGATAGCAAATAGGTCACAGTTGCCCATGAGTGACCAGCTAGTAGCCAGCTCATAGGAACCCACAACTGCATAGGAAGGAACAGAAAGAAGAAAGCCCCAAGCTGGAGTTTTTGAATGAATTCATGGGAATGATAGATAATGGATGAGGGAACCATGGATAAGGATTCTCTGAGGGAAATGTGATCCCTTAGTCTTACTCTCCTCTCCCAACAGTAATTCAGCTGAAATTTGAAGGCGTTTGGTAAACCTAAAGATATTTTGAAATTTATTTCTTTTTAATGACATTTTCTTTTTCCTCTGTACTTTAGGATTAAATAATGTTTAATGTATGGATTACTAATTTTAACTATTAGGATTAAATAATATTCATAGGCATTTCTTATTTATCTTATTTTACATCTATTTAAAAGACCCACAGGATGATAATATCAATTCCTTGCATGGTGACATATTTTGCTTCATTTTTACCTATTCAACATATATGATTTTGTGGAATTTACTATTTGATTTCTCATTGCTGTTACAGATGAGAAACCCAAGGGTCATGATTAGTTCCTGAATGTCACAAGATTCGGAAAACTCAAATATTAGAAATTGTGTCCTCAGGCTCCCTTCCATGAGTAATTATTTGTTCAATGATTTTCCCCTGCTATGTGATAAGCTCCATTAAGGCAAGGAAGAGGACAGACTTTTCAAGGCTGTCTTTACCATTCCCCCATGCTACGCCTTGCAAATCAGAGTCCCTGAGAATAGAAGATTTACAGCCAATTTGAAAGAAATGCAAATTATGCATACCCAGGTGGGTAGTATTTTCACCCTCATATTTATCTTTGCATATTTCTGCAATTAAATCTGTTGTTCTGAACCTAAAAGACCCTAAGAGAAAGTCAAAATAAAGTGGTATCAATTGGGGCTAACCTAGGTCAGGCAGTTTTCCAAGCTGTTTAAATTTGTCTCTGCTATCCCTCCAAAAAGTCTCTTAGGAAAGATTTTATTACCCCATTGTGCAAATGGGCAAATTCTTCCCTCTTCTTTCCAAAGAGAAGAAATTACTTTCCAAGTTTACAGAATGTTTTAATGATATTTTCTGGTTTTATGTACAGAATCCTTTCTAAACAATGGAGTGTCTCTACCTCTCTGAACTGTGGGACAAATGATCCACTTAACACAGTGACAGGGTGACAGGGTAGATGACAAGCACAGAGCCTACAAACTGGATGAAAACCACCTCCTTCATAGTCGAGATGACCGTATTCTTTCTGGAATTTTCCAGTAATTTTTTTGAGGACATTTATTAAAATGAAATAAGATGGGGCCTCCCCGGTGGCGCGGTGGTTGAGCGCTGGGTTGCGAAGCTGCCCGCAGCCTCTGCAGCGCTGGTTCAATCCCCGGCTGCTCCCCGGCCACCAGAGGAGGGTCCCACATGGCGCGCAGACCTCTCCTGCCGCCCGCTGCTCCCCTCAGCAGTGTACTTCAGTCCTTCTGCCTGCTCTGCTCCCCGCTCTGGCTCTGGTGAATTCTCTCACCTCCCGCGCTTCTGACTGTACCCAGTGCTTGTATAAACAAACAAACAAACAAACGAACAAATAAATAAATAAAAACATGCCTCTATAAAAATAAATAAATAAATGAAATAAGATGATATAAATCAATCTAGGTACACAAAAATGTCTATCCCAGCATAATGAGCAATCTCACCGAAGTGAGCAATAATGAATGAATATTAATATGATAAATATTAATATGATAAAAATCCGCATATATTGAAATGTGACATAAGGCATCTAAATTCATGTTCTATATGACTATATTTAAAGATCAAGGAAATACAATGTATTTCTAGTGAAAAGCAGAAAACAATGCAGATTATAAAAATGTGATTGAATAGCCTAATAAGACCATATCCATGCGTATAAATATATGTTAAAACTGGAACTATACATATATATATTTAACAATTATCTCTGAGTTTTGAGATTTTGTCTTTTTTTTTATTTCTAGTTTTCAAATTTTCCAAAATGAACACACAATGTATTTCCCTGATCTCAGAGCAATTGCTCCTTACAAGAAGGAAGATAGAGGCAGGGAAGTTCAGATAACAGGAGGGAACTCAGTTGTGATAAGTTATTTTCCCAGTTGTAAAACTTCCAAGGTTCTGGATTGCCGTGGGAACAAGGCTGGAGCCACTGCTAGTGGAATCCAGGGACTCATCCTCCTTTTCTGTCCCAGTCCTTTCCATATTTTGCATCCGGCTGACAGTACTAGTGATTACTATGGATTATGCTTCCCTTTCCCTGCTGTGCTCTATCCTGCTGCTCCATCCTGGAGCAGATGCCTTTCTCAGGCAACCTGCCAAGGACTGCCTGGCCCAGTGACCCGTTCCTACCCACCAAGTTTTCCAGGCGGCTCCCACTGCCTCCTGCTGAGGTTTGACTTTAATTCGACCAGGATGCTGGACCACCCAGGGCTTGCTCAGCCCAGCACAAAATGCCTAGGTGCTTTCTCTCTCCTACCTGGTGATTCTCCTCCTCCCCAGGCCCCAACGCGGGTGACAGGTACAGTGCGGTAAAAAAAAGGAGAGCCAGGCTAAATTTCTCAAAGGAAGGGAAAATTTATTGGGCCCCAGGCGGACCTCACGGACCCAAGCTGGGGGTCAGTGAAGCCCCGCACGGTTGTCAGGGGGAAGCAGGCTTTTATAGGGTGAGGAGAGGTCAGGTGGGAGACTGGGTTGTATGGGGGGGGGGGGGGGGGGTTTGTTTGGCGGGGCGCGGGGGCGGGGGTGGGGGGGAGTTTCTTTGTCTGAATCCTCCAGGCAGGCCTCCGCATTCCTGTTCCCAGGTGGGCTACCTGGTGGGTTTTTGCGTTCCTGCCTCCTGCATGGACCTCTCAGCGGGCTCCTTAAAGGAGAGGCACCAGCTGCACAGGAGCCTGTTGTATTTCTCTTCCTGTTCTCTTCTCTTTGAGGGGTGTCAACTGGGGCATCAAAGGTAGGGAGAGTGGGCACCTGGTGGTGTGCGTAAGCACACGTGGCTCTCCCTTGTTCCTGCTGCGTTCCTGAAGCAACCCACGGAAGATGTTATGAAGAGATGAGGTGTGCTAGCAAAATCAGGGTGTCTTGGAGAGTCTCAGGAGCAGGCAGAGTTGGCAGCCTGGGCAAACCTCCAGCCATCCTGGAAGTGGGTAATCCAGAGACACCTTAATTTCTCAGATAAGGCAGGTCACACCTCGGTTTATCAGCAGAGTTTAGGTAGATTGCTTACTGACAGATGTGCTGTAGAGCAGAGATGATAAAGACCTAGAGGATTTAGGGACTACCAGGTTACCCCAGAGACCACATGAGTCCTTAATGCAGGATGAAGAAGACAAGGACGGTAAAATGTGGCCCTTTGGGGGCCCTGGAAAATGCAGGCACTGCTACAGTATTTATAGTAGGTTGCATTTTGACCACTCACTGATTTCCCCCTCCTTGTTCACATTAGAATAGCTTTGGGATATTGTTTTGTAAATAGCTACAATTTTTTCTTTAAACATTTATTTATTTATTTATTTATTTATTTATTTATTTATTTATTTATTTATTTATTTATACAAGCACTGGGTACAGTCAGAAGCGTGGGAGGGTGAGAGAATTCACCAGAGCCAGAGCAGGGAGCAGAACAGGCAGAAGGACCGAATTACACTGCTGAGGGGAGCAGCGGGCGGCAGGAGAGGTCTGCGTGCCATTTGGGACCCTCGCTGGTGGCTGGGGATCGAACCGGCGCTGCAGAGGCTGCGGGCAGCTTCGTAGCCCAGCGCTCAACAGCTGCGCCACCAGGTAGGCCAGCTACAATTTTTTTAAGACACTTTTTTTTAAAAGATTTATTTATTTATATAAGAACCGGGGTACAGGCCAGATACATGGGAGGGTGAGAGGATTCACCAGAGACAGAGTGGGGAACAGAACAGGCAGACTGATGATATACACTGCTGAGGGGAGCAGTGGGCGAACCAGGAGAGGTCTGCTGTGCCATGTGGATTCTCGCTGGCCAGCGGGGATCGAATCCGCACTGCAGAGGCTGCGGACAACCTCACAGTGAGGCTTTCAACCGCCTGTGCCACCAGGGAGGCCCATAAATCGCTACAATTTTACTAAAAAACAGCTCTGGCATCTCAAGATGGCACAGAATGATGTCTTTCCCTATGCACTTTCTCAGAATGCCCCAAGAGAGCCTGGCATTGAAAGTCAGGAGATTCTCAGCATAGCCAAGAATATATGAAATGTTAGAAATTTTGATTTTAATCTAAGAGATATCTCTGCTTCATGAGCAAATTCAACAACAGGCTTATGTCCTCCGTTGAGAAACTCTGGTCTGGAAATTTCTAATGACTTCATCATTTGTATTCATTTTTTTTTTTAGATTTATTTATTTATTTATACAAGCACTGGGTACAGTCAGAAGCGTGGGAGGGTGAGAGAATTCACCAGAGCCAGAGCGGGGAACAGAACAGGCAGACTGCCGAAGAACACTGATGAGGGGAGCAGTGGGCGGCAGGAGAGGTCTGCGCACCAGACCCTCATCCGGTGGGCGGGGATCGAACAGGCGCTGCAGAAGCTGCGGGCAGCTTCGCAACCCAGTGCTCAACCGCTGCGCCACTGGGAGGCCCCATTTGTATTCTTACAAAGAAAAAATATTGGGTGCCGGGGTCCAGCTCTGACCTGGGCTGGCGGAATGGAGGGGGAGGGGGAGATGAGGTAGATGAGGTAGGGAGGAGACGCTGATACTTGATCAGGGTGCAGACATCTCCCACTGAGGGTCTCAGCGGAGCTTTATTAATACATCAGAAATTGTTATTTGATCATTGCATCATGCAATCATGATTGATTCTATTTTTACATTGTTTTGGAAATTATTAATGATCATTAACAGTGCACAGTCCTTTTTATAAATTTTCCCAGTCTATGATTATTGTGGTCACTTGGTTACATTAACTTGGTTACATTATTTCCCTAGGTGATGTATGTTATTCAGAAAATAGAAACAGGTGCTACACCCAACGTGATTTATGCAGTCAAGCTAGGTAACTAAAACTAGCAGGGATTGTAAAATCAAGGGTGGCCTTCTATTTCCTATATAGAACCAAGGGGTCCCAGTGCCATGGGAACAATATGTGGTGTGTTTCTCCAGGACCATTTCACCTCCCGGGGTGCTTCAGGGCTCAGTTCCATCAGTTCTATCAAGCATGGTTTATTAAAGAACTCAATGTTACTCATGGTAACTGAATTACAAATTGGAGGACATAGAGAATTATTGGGAATCGTTTCATTATCAATCACGTTAGAAGGTACTTTTCTCAAACTACTGAAGTGTGCATTACCGAAACTGGCATTGATGCCAACACTCATTGTGTTATTCTAAAGTTTATAGAAAATTTCCATGGTTTCAATAACTGCCACAAACAAATGAAAGGAAGTAGCAGGAACCAGCTGTGGAGTTTTCTGACTTTTCAGAAACTTTCCTCATGCCCAGACCTTGTCAGACAGCATGAGTAGCATGGCCTGTGCCAATTGGGGTAATTCTTCATGTAAGGAGTTGCCTTTTAAAGATACTTAATGTATCGCCACAGTAAAATAATACAATACGCCAAAAAAAAAAAATAACCTCTGACTTACTTCTATCTTCTGAGTAATCACAGACCTGTGAGTAAGGTCATTTTATTTATGGTTAATCCAGCTTTCTTGAGCCTTTGTTCTTGGTGAAGGTTGGGATAGCCATTCTAAGTGTGCTCTACAGAAGTTACAATGGGCAGACCAGAGGTGGACATTCAGGCCAAAAATGTCTTACTATCCTTATTCTATCTGCATTAGTAATGCATCAGAGGGTACCATCCTGAGGTGATACCCACAGCATCATTCTAAGGACACTCCAGGAGGAAAATGGCCCGCTCTTTCCCAGTATTCTGCTCACTTTTGTTCTTCATTTCTTTGACATTACCTGCAGGTGAGTAATTGGCTGGTTCTTGTAAGCCTGTAAGATTCATTTGTGGGAGCTGACATTTTAATGTGAGAATGTTTTGAGATTCTTTTTCTTACTTTTAAAAATATAATGTTTTACTCTATCTATATAGTATATCTATATCTGTATCTATAGGAAGATAATAGAGTATGGTCTGAAAGGTTTTATGTCATTGGGAAGGGTCAGAGTTTGCCATCTGCTACAGTAAGTGTGGATTTCAAGACTGAACTCATGGGTCTTGGGGCTAGGGGACTTGGGTGATTCATGAAGGAATATGTGAAAGTCTAGTTATGTCCACCTAGACCACCACACATCTCACAACTGCAGAGCTTTTGAAAATTTTTGCCATCTATTTGAGTGGGTCATTCTCTTTTGTGTCTTGTGTAGGGAGTATAAGAAATCTAGTCTCAAGAACTGGAGACCTTGACTTCTCACATTTCTCCTATGAATTCTTGGGTATTTCATACAAGTGTCTTTCTTCTTTAGGCTAAAAGATCTCTTTAAAGTTCTCACTTTTCCTCATTTCTTTCATATGTTGGCTGCCAACTTGGAATGTTTTCAAACCCAGGATAATTACTGTTAACCAAATAAGTATCTGGTACACTGAAGTGGCAACATTTATGAAAAGAGTGATGCATCTGTTATAGTCCTCTGCTTATTATCTTCCAGGATAGGAAAGTTAGTCTACATATTTAGAATACATGTATAAATAAAATTTTTGGATTTATTTAATAAATATATAATAATGTGATTATTATCTATTTTCTTGCAATAAATTGAACTTCTTTTAGTCTACTAGCAGATTAAGCCATGATTTATCAGACATTAGATCATATAACTATCTTTATTTATGTTATAGTTTCAAAACTTCAAGAGTGGTGGCCACCAAAGGGAAAAATTAAGGTAATTTACTAGCTTTCCCAGCACTGAGCTTCTAAACTGAGTTTTTGGTTTCCTTTAAATTGCTATTTTAGAATCTTACTGCAGCAAGGTCACCTGGGAGATCATTCAAGGCCACTCACATGAGTGTGGCAGGTATAGGGGCCCAGAGTAGAGAGGACCCAAACCAAGGGACCCAAACAGGGACCCAAACCAAGAATTCATCATATGGATTCTATCCACGTGTTTGGGAAATGTTTATGGGCACCAACAATTGCCAGGGTCTGGCAGTTCTTAAGAGTCCATAAGTATGTCATGGGTATGGCATGGCTTCTGGTCCCAGTGAGCTCGCAGTTGGGTGACCCCAATGCTCCCCAATGCCCTGAGCTGTGCAGTGGATGTCTATGTGAGCTTTGAGTAGGGAAAGCATCCTCTGAGGAGAAGGTGAGGGAATAGGAAATCTCTGAACAGTGTCTCAAATTACATTTGCAACGTTGACAAGAAGGAAACACCTTTTTCATTGTCATCTCGTTCTCTAAACATGAAATATATTGTGAGGTCAATAAATGCTTGATAAATGAAGAAAAGAGTGAAATAATATTACTTTGATTTCTCTGTGTAGATTTGTATCACTGCACTCCTTGACTTTAGGAATATTTGAACTTTAAGGTTTTTGTCTCATTCATAAATTTTAAGTTTTACTTCTTTAAAAAATTCAAATAAGGGGGGTGGGAATTGTATGGGGAATATAACTAAAATGAAAATGCATACATTGTGCAAAAATGAAAAATGATGTAAGAATTATATAAAATTTAAAAAAAAATTCAACCCTGAGTTGAATGGTGGAAAAAATATCTTGAAGGCAGCTTGGCCTTCAGAGGACCCATAGATCAGAATGTAGAATCTGTCAGATGCTCTGAATCCAGCAAGAGAATTGGCAGAACTTGTCCAATTTTTCTACTCTGGTTAGAGTTCAGTTCTAGAATTTTCCTCTCCAGAAGGCTGTCTACATAAGGAGTCCCCCCTTGCCTGTCAATCCATAAATAAAAATAATCTTACTCATTTGTACTTCTTCCTTTTTGAAAATAAAAAGATTTATTTATATTTATTTATGCATACGTGAACTGGGGTACAGGCCAGAGGTGCAGGGGGTGAGAGGATTCACCAGAAAGAGTGGGGAGCAGAACAGGTAGATCTACTGAAATACATTGCTGAGGGGAGCAGCAGGCAAGACAGGAGAGGTCTGCTGCGCCATGTGGGTCAGCTCCCTGGCCAGCAGTGCTGCAGTGGTTAGTGATAACTTGATAGTGCTGAGACTTTAACCCATGCGCCACCAGGGGGGCCCCGTACTTAACTTTCTTTAAGGAATATTTATTTATCACCTATGCTGTGCCCTAGGATAAAATAGTAAAGCTTAGAAAAAGGGAGGGTGGAGGAAGGAAAGAAATGACTATTATTTTGGTAAATTCTGTAAGTAAAAGAAGTAGGATGGTATGAGAGATACTATCCATTGGGAGCCATGGACTGTGTGACCAGTGACGCCTCTCTGGCACGTAAGAGCTGCAGAGCAAAAGGAATCACCCAGATGAGAGCGGTGAGACTTTATCTGCCTGAGTCACTGGTGGAAGACCTGCTTGACGGGGGCGCAGGCGGGGAGAGGGCACGGCGGATGTTGGTCCCAACGACGTTTAGATTTCCTAATAAAACACACAGGTGACCAACCTGTTTGTGAGCATGATTCTAATCACCTCTTTCTTTTCAACTCAATTTCAGCTGAAATGTCCTTATAAGAGAGTAGATTTAAGTTGGTACAGAAGTACAGTGAACCCCTGCCCAGGGCTCTACCAACCCATCTGTGGCACCAATTTCATGACCTATGACAACCCCTGCATCTTGTGCATTGAGAGCATGTGAGTATCTCTGGGGGGAAAAGGACAACACTGGACAAGCTTAGTCACAGCAATTATCATCTGCCTCGTCTTCCACTTAGTACACCAGCCCTGAAGCCAGGAATTTGCTCCTGTTTGCACAGATAATAATCAACCCCTACTCAGAAGATAATGTAATAATATGAAGCTCACTGGAGTAGAAAGTGAACTCATTGTACTCAGTGGTGACCCTGAGGTCCCTGAGTCCCCTCCTTCCCACATGCCAACGGGCGGACTTTCCTCTGAAGCCCCCAAACATCCAACCGTGAATTCTTTTATTTTAAAACAAATGGTGATTCTGCCTTCTCTCAGATATCCCTGACCTCTTATGTGTACAGCACGATGAATAAGGCTGAGGTGACTGCAAAGTTTGGGTCTCTTAGATAAGAATTCCAGTTAAGATGCTTGAAATTATGTGACAAGATTATCAGTGATTGGACTTGCAGATCTCTCAAATCCTTTGGATTTGATCCTCATATAAGCCAAGGAAGTTCATAAGGAGAAAAGTTCTCCCCATGGCATGAAACTGGAGCCCTCCGTCCCAACAGCCATTCTGTAATTTTGTACCAGGAGTAATGACAGGAGCGTACACACCCCAAATCATCCCCACTAATGAGTAAATGCTCCAAAGTAGGAGCATGTACAGAAAAACATGAGGATAGACAGGCCTCACATTTTGCAAGCTCAAGCCAATTAAATAACTTATTTTCAGAAAAAAAGTAGCACAGGTCATAACAGCCTCAATGGTATCTTAAAATCATGGCAGAGTAATTGGGAAGAAAACCCAGTCACCTGATGTTTGTCTTCAGACAATGCCCTCTATAATCTGGCTGCCACTGTCTTCAGGTGTAAGGGTGGTAGATCATGATTTTTCAGGGTTTTTGTATCTCTGACATTTTATTATTAAAATGTGTATTTTGACACTTCCTTTAGGAAATCTCGTGGAAAAATTAGATTTCAGCATGATGGAAAATGTTAGCTGAGTGGACTTGAGCTAGAGAAGATATCTCGTTTTCTCTCCACCACTGGGATCCTCCTGTTCCAGCCCCCCCTCCTTGACTCCTCCTTGAAGTGTGGTGACAGAAAGCTGCCCCTGCTTAGAGGGTCCCTCTTGACTCATAGTCTTCCATATTATCCTCCCTAATAAAGGAATTTTTTCTGAAAGCCTGATTTAATGTGGGTCACAGATCTGTGCCTCAAGTCTCAGAAAAAGAACTAGTTGAACATTTCAGTCAAGGGTCAAAAGCAAACATTGGATGTAATCATCTCTCTGATTTTGTGAATTGTGGAGGCTTCTTGTAAATGCTCCAGGCCATCTTCCAAGGAAAATGACAGAAATGAATTTTTAAAAGCTACTTGCAGGAACTATGTTCTTACTCACCACATCTGTTGTTCCGCTTCTGCAAACTCCTCATTAATCAGCCTCACGTGTATGCTCAGCCCTGACGGATGCATTTACACACGTCTGGCTTAGACCACCAGGGCCTGCAACGTCCCTGTCCCACCTTTTCTCCAATGAAGGCGGCCCACACAGAGTGTCCATGAATGTCTCATTGGTCGTTCATGTTTTTCTCGAAATTTCTTGACACATTTTTAGCCTATGAAATATATAGGGACAGGGTCTTCAATTCATATAATACATATAGATACACATACAAATATGTGTGTGTGTGTGTATATATATATATATACACACACACACATACTTCCTCCCTAGTAAAAAGAGACGATTAATGTGCTCTCCACCCTCAGCAGAGTATGTTCTGTTAGATCTTTGATCTCAGCCAGCATACTGCTTACATGGTAGACACAGGCTTTGGTAACAAGGAAACAATAACCTTCAGTTTATCACCTTGAGAATATGAAAAGCAAATAACTCTGGGCAAAATGAAATACTATCTCATATTAAAGAGTACATACTACTATTTGAAAACAAAATAATATTAAAGTACAGATTAAAATTAATTTTGATTTTTTTCTTTTTGCATAGAAGATCTGGGGTGTAGGCCAGAGGTGCAGGGAGGCGAGGGGTGGGGGAGAGGGTTAGAGGATTCATCAGAGAGAGAATGAGAGGTCTGCAGGGCCATATATGGGTCAATTCCCTGGCCAGGGATCGAGCTCAGGCCTTAGTGGTGACAGTGCTGATACTTAACCCTTAGGCCACCAGGGAGTCCTCCAAATTAAAATGCGTATCACCATGGTGAATGAAGGCTCTGGCATGTTCACTGCCATTGCTCCAAGTCCTGGGCCCTGAACTCTGGGAAGGATTGCTTTCCAGTAGCATTTATATCATCTACTGCAAGCTCTCTGGACAGTTCAACCAACTTCAGCCATAACGAACTCTTATGAGACCAGTCACAAAACTTATTTGCCCATAAGGTGGCAGTAAAGCACTGCTGATTGAGTCAATAACTTCGACTAGGCCTACAGAGAAGGTTGTGTGATTTGGAGCAAATGGCTAATGCTCTGTGAGCTGTGTATTTCTCATCACTCAACATCATGATAATACTAGCACATACTTGACGTCGAGGAGACAAGAAGCTCCAAAGAAGTTTAAATAAGAATACCCAGGTGAGAAACAGTGGGGGCAAAACCTTAGGTAAGAGCAAGAGGGCCCTTTTTGCCTACCCAGGAATCTGTTTGTGAACCACAGGAGTGAGCTTGAGATGGAGAGGTTTCAGCTTCCTAATGTTATTTTCTAGTTTTCTTCTTCTCAAGAGGGTAAAATCTTCTAACATAGGCTATGCTTAGCTCTTATTCAGGTCTCACTTTGCATGAGAGGGATGGGGCAATGTTTTTCTCAAACTAAATGTTCTGTTACTCCTATAATGTTTCATTTCTTTTGAATAGACTTTACTTTTAACCAAAAAAAGTTAGCAAGATAATCATTTCAAAAAGACAGACTCTCTTAAACTGTCAACCTATGTATTTTTCAAACAAAAATGATGAATGACTTGGAGTATGGATTTTGTAGGCAGCCAAAGAGAATCACTGTTTTTTAAAATAACATGCAAACAATAAGCCAGACCTTTCCCGTGGGTAATTCCTATCCATTTAAATTTCATATTTATGCTTTCATATTATTTTGCTTTGAAATACAAATTCAAAATATAGAAAAGTATTTTGATTAAAACAGTAAAATAAAACTAAACATAACAACCAGGACTTTCTGTCAATAATTTTAGATGAAAATCTTTCCTAAATTCTTCCTTCTCCTTTCAGCCTCTCTTAGTAACTAAGTATGTAGCATGTGATAGAAATGGTATAAAAACAGGATCATACTATGCATGCTACTTCTTACATGAGAGGTTACTGAATACCGGATCAAAGGCAAGAAGAAATCTTATTCTAAATGTGTATAGTAAACAAACGGAAAATGAAATTTTAAAGGTATCATTTCACAGAGTATCAAAAATAGTAGATATGTAAGAAATAAATAACTCTAACAAGATAGATGCATGACTTCTATCCTGAATAGTAGAAGACAGTAAAGAAAGCTTTAAAATAAATAGAAACCCAAAATAAATAGAAATATATGCCAATTCATCAATTAAAATTTTCAACACTGTAAAGAGATATTCATTCTAAATTGTTTTCTAAATTCAGTATAATTTTACTCATAGATGGAAGGTTTTTTTTAAAAAAAGTATGCCAATCAGATTTTCAAACTTGTATAGAAATGTATTAAGAATAAAGAATTGAGAAGATTATCTTGAGGAAGAGCAGAGCTAGAAGACTTACACTACCAGGTAACAAGACTTATTCTCAAGGAAGAATTATAAAGAAAGCATACTGATCAACACCAACAAAGAGTTTACTGGAATGTAATGTGGAGTCCATAAACAGGTTTACACATATATGGTTATTTGACTTACGACCAAAAAAAGTAACCTGATAGGGAAAATCCTAATGTTTCCACAATTTAAACAATAAATGACATGAAAAGAGAGAGATTCAGAACACATAGAAGCCAAAAAAAAAAAATACCTGTATAGTAAAATTATGAGAAGGTGTTCTCTTTATTAAATGGTACTGAGTTTATTACATATATATGTATATATGAATATGTGGAAGAAAATGAATCGTGATTCAACTTCATCTTGAATTGTTATTCTGAAAAAACAGTTCAAAGAATCTTTTGGGAGGAAACATGTCTTCATGAAATTAGAATATACAAATATTGCTTAAGCTGGCCAAAAATAAAAGCACTAGCATAAATTAAAAATAAGATAAACCCCAAAACATTAAAATTAGGTATTACATTCAGTTCATTAAAATACACCACCATTATAAGAGTAAAAGGGAAACCTACTTAGGAGAAACTGTTTCCAATACATATGTCCAACAAGTGGGTCATGTCAGCAATATATGAAGAATTCCTATGGATAAATGAGAAAAACACAACTCTTCCAAGAGAAAAACGTGAAAAATTTAAAATGATGGCATCAAAATAGCTAATAAATATGTGCATTTGCTCCATTACCTCTCCATTCAGTTGTTATTAAAATGTCTGCTTTTTGATCTTATGTTATTATAAGTCCAGTCCTTAGACTTGGGTGAAGCTCAAAAGGAAAATATAATTTGGTTCTTTGAATTGCATTTACTTTCAAAGTATGTTCTTTATGTTTCTTTTGCATGGCATGCCATGCTCTTTGAAATTAAGATCATAACCTGACCTGTCCTTACAGTTTCCCCATTTTAATTTTTTGCAGACAAGGAATTTTGATGTGGTTTTTTGTCTAAATGTAGAAGAAAATTCTATGTTCTGACTCACTCTCCAACCCTGCTTTGGTCATCTATTGCTGATTGGCAAATACTGCAAAAGTTACTGGTTTAAAGCAATAACAATTTGTTATTTACATCATTTACTGGGCTACTTCCTATGGGGTCAGCTGGAATGCTGGTAGGGCTGGAGGTTTCAAAACCGCCTCTCTCACACAGCTTTTAGCGCGGCAACCAGTCTATCTGTTGTTTGGAGTATCAGGTCTCTTCTGCTCAGCTTCTCTGCCACAACTGACACTAATTCAATTTTAAATACTTTTGTGTCTGGAGAGACTGCCCTGAGTTGTGTGTACTTCACCCACACTGTACTTGAAAAATAGAAGTTTCTTTTAGTACATTTCTTCTCACCTGAATTTTGCTGACAACTAAAAGAAATACATGGCAGACAAAGCAGATTAAAAAATATTACCAGGAGTAAATAGGAATATTACATACTGACGAATGGTCAATTATAGATGAATTCTCACCTAATCACAAAGCTGGATGTGTATTTACTTAACAACATTAAAATCTATTAACCAAAGTTGATAGAACTATAAGAGAGAATGGAAAATTCACAAATTTAATGGGAGATGTTAACATTTCTCTCTTATTGATAGAAGTGGACAGAAAAATCATTAAGAATGTGGAGGAGGTGAACAACATAACCACATTGTCCCAAGGGAAATTTACAGAGCATTATATGAACAACAGCCGATTACGTATTTTTTTTAAAATGCACATAAACATTCACCAAGATTGACATGTTGTGGATATAAAACTAGCCTTAAGAAATTTAACATGCTAGAAACCACACAATGTATATCCTCCAAAGAGAAGTTAAACTCATTATTTGGAAACTAAGCAACATACTTCTGAATAACCCGTAAGTTAGTTAGGAAGACTCAAAAAACGTTTAATGGAGTGACATCTGAAAACAACCTATCAAACCCCTGGGTTTAAACTTATACAGTGATGTATATCGATGATTTCTCAATAAAACTGCAGGAAAATATTTTGTGGGTTGTCTCTAAAGTAGTGCTTAGTAGTTAGAAGGAAAAAGACAAAAACTATGTGATTTCACTTAAAAGTGTTAAACTGAGAAGACAAACAGATGAACCAAAAAAATAAATAAACTTTTGAACTACAAGACTAAGTAGTGGCTACCAGCAGGCAATGGGGGAGGGAGAAGGGTGACTGGGGGCAAAAGAGACAAAGAATTGGGCTTTTAGTGGTGAACTTAAGGTCGTGTATATATACATGCTGACTTTTGATGATGCATGACAAAGACTTACATTATAATGCAATATTGCTTTAATTAAAAAAAACAAAAATGTAAGGCTTAGAGATTTATAGTAGTTATTGGCATAAATAAAGAAACATATGCAATCAGTAATCT